GGCCTCAGGTCGAATGCGCTAGGAGATATCGCTCACGCTATCGCCCTTGCTTCTACGCAAGATGAGACTGGAAAATGCTACATGGTATGCTCAACTTTCTTCATTCATCTTACCGTGCTCTGACTTTGGTATAGATCGTTGGGGGAAATTCGGTAGAAGTGGAAGATGGTAGAATCGCATTACTTGATCAATGGCTTGGACGCGAAATTACAGAGTTGTTGCAATCTGCTAGTACACTCTTCGAAGCCAATGGCTATCCCTTGCCCAAGGGGCATTAGAAACATGTAGAGACTGATTACTTAATGCTCAGGTCCACCTTATAACCTTGCATAAATAACCTTAATACCTAAAGCAACTTTATTTATTTTATGTTTATATCTACCAACCATTATGTGCTGGGAACACCTGTAACATGTTTCGTTTTCCTCGTAAACTTGTCCCTGAGTTTCAGATTCAGGGTAGCTACCGAGTCGTTTTCTGGGGACAGCCGAGCTTGGCATAACCCCCAACCCCAGCATGGTAATGTCAACTTGCAGACTCAACTGTTATCCAATCGGAAGGCAAGATGGCCGAGCGGTCTAAGGCGCTGTGTTCAGGTTCGATTGGAACTATTGACGATTCGCAGTCTCGAAAGGGGCCTGGGTTCGAATCCCAGTCTTGTCAAGCTCTTTTTTGCTCATCAGACGATCAAGTGGCGTTATGGGCGTGTAATTTTGACGTGAGCCAAACGCTGGGACAGTTATGACTGGTTGCTGCGGCTCTTTGACTTGTATACGCAATGGAAGTCTCGTGTGATTATATTTTGGACAAAGAAGTTACATAACGACGTGAACTAAACGCAGGGGCCGCCGTGATTCGCCGCTGCGGCTCTTTGGCTTATATACACAGTAGGGGTCTCGTGGGATCATATCTTGAGCGAAGAAGTTACGACACAAACCAAACGCTGCGGATGTCGTGACTGGCTGTTGTGGCTTGGACTCGTACACGCAAACGGATACAGGGGTGCAGGGATACAGGGGATAAGGTGGCTGTCAAGCCACTGTCAATGTGCAATTGACATTTTGTTACGATAGGAACTATTGCTAGTTGATAACAGTTAAAATTGCAATGTGTCTGATCTCAATGGTCAATATCCTCCCCGGCGTGGAATGTCGAATAAGACATGCACGTGTAGATGACGATAAAAAAGCGCGCAACAGAGGAACAACCATAATTATTGAGTTAAGCGCACACGTGCTTCAAAACAAGAATATTATGGGGACGAGAGCTTGGCGCCAATTAATTTCATTCCAACAAGCCCCCTTGTAGCCCTTGCAACGCGCGGCGCTTTCGGATTTAGCAGTCATACATTGGACAGGGGCCTTTATCTTAGTGCCAAACCTTGTTTTCCCCCGGTCCCAAGGCACTTGGTGCTTCATCTTTGTGTGAGAGATGCTGATGCCAAGAACCCCCTCCCCCGTAGAGTGGTCATCCAGCCACGATTCCATGACGAAACTTGCCAAGTCCGGGTGCTACTTAAGAATCTGAGTGGCCACTTTATGTTTCCTTTGCTAAACATCCCATCTCCTCCGTCTTCTCACCATGATCTTCTCCAGTATATCTCTCCTCTCGTTGTTATCGGGCGCACTGGCCAGTGCCGTCCCCCAAGGAGCGAATACCTGGAAAACCTTACCTTCTATCCCCATTGCTCCCAGGCAAGAACATGGCGTCGTAGCACTCTCGGAAAAGACCATTGCAATCATCGGTGGAATCGTTCCCAACCGCGAAGCCAATGGCTACGAGACGACTGCTCTTATGCAATTCTTCAACACACGCTCGAATTCATGGCGTCGATACGTCACTGAGGCGCCCGTGAAAGTCAACCATCCCAATGTCGCTGTAGTCAATGGCAAGATTTACCTTCTCGGCGGACTTTCAGATATCGACAATGGCGCTTGGCGAGCATTTTCAGACTCATGGGTATACAATCCCGACGTCGACGAGTGGACGGAGCTCGACCCGGTCCCCGATAGTGAAAAGCGAGGAAGTGCGGCGACCAGTGTTTATGGAAATATCATCTACATGGCTGGAGGTATGCGCACCTTGGAGCCAACTGGACCAGGCGGAGAACAAGATACAGTCGACTTCGTCTCTGCCTTCAATACCAAGACTTCGCAATGGATCGATCTCCCTTCAGCAGCAAAGAAGCTCCCCGAAGGTCGCGATCACGCAACAGCCTCTATCATCGGGACCAAATTCTACGTTCTCGGCGGTCGTCTCCGCGGCCAACGCAATGTCAAAGACACAGTTTTCATCCTCGACCTAGAAAACCTAGAAGCTGGCTGGACGACCAGCGAGGGCAGAATGCCTACGCCGCGCGGTGGTGCAGTTTCCGGTACAATCGGCACCAAAGTCTACGTTTTAGGCGGCGAAGGAAACACAGCGCCCGAGTCGGAGGGCATGTTTGACCAGATTGAGGCCTTTGATACAAAGACCGGGAAGTGGGAGGAGCTCGGTACGATGAACTTGCCAAGACATGGAGGTGCGGCTGTTGCGATTAAGGGTGGCATTTACCTTCCAGGTGGAGGCATTACGGAGGGAGGTTCTCCGGTTGATACCCTGGATGTCTACTGGCCTTAGCCAGGCATTCACTGTTTTTTTATAGGTGTATATCTAGCGTTTAATGATTAATGACTCTTGACTTTATTCCTCCTAGTGATTTCGGGTTCCGAGTGATGTTCCTTACAGGTCAATGTTCACGTAAGCCACTAGCGTAAGCAGAATTGTCGATCTAGGTAAGTAAGCTTATCCTTCCTATAGTGCTTAAAAGAATTCGATGCTCTTCGTCTCGCATAACATGTATAACTTGGGAGTCGAATAAGAAAAGCCAGCTGAAATTCCTCTTTCATCAAGAGAAGTAATATAAGCTAGGATAAACAAATATCTACTTAAAATTAATACAGCAAAAAGTTCTTGTGCCCAAGTTAATCAGATATCGAAAACGACTCACGGGAATAACTTATCTGACGATAAGGGGATTTAGTAGCCATGCCATCAACCGTACATCTAGTTGGGCCGAGCTTTTTCTCCTTTTGTTTGGTTTTGCACTTGTTAAGCTATCGATGGCGCATGGTCAACTGGCACGCACGCCTGGGACTCTTAGGGCCTACGTACCCTTTCCTTGCGGCTTCATTTGTATTTTTATTCTCAATTTCAATGGATCTGAATAAGATATCACATATTTAGTAATATTTGACACTGTGAGCGCAAGAAGAAGGGGCTCACGTCCATTGGCTGAGTCTGGCAACGGTATTGCAAGTAGTAACTATTGCATCCTGAGATTCATAACCAGTGATAGTACAAAAGGGTTTAGATATAATTTGATGTAAGATAGTTAGTTGAGGGCTTGTAGATGTTGTGTTTAGCCCAAATGTGCTATTCCTCCCCCAATTCCACGTGAACCACTACTATTAAACAGCTGTCCCAGCATAACTTAGAGCCTACTGCAGCACCAAGATGCATAATAATGAGTGAAAGGGATAGGGCTGCAGTTGGTTCCCTTTCTATAGCAATTACCGAAATTGCCTCCAGTAGTATAAGCAATCGATGGGTTGTTGTTGTCGCATCGAAGACCGTAACCAGAAGGCCAGCCACCATCAACATCGCAAATATCTCCCTCGTTGCGCGAGTAAGAGATCATGCCGCAGTCGTTAGCGTAGATGGTTGCGTGCAGGTCACCGCAACTAGGGCCGCCTCTAGGATCGCCCAGTGTGCATGTCTGCCAGGTGCCAACTGCAACTTCGCCGTCTCTGCATCCTGTTCGGAGAGCCGAGGAAGAGGCGACCAGACTGAGAAAGAGAAGGAGGGCGCTTGAGACGTGCATTGTGTATATCGTAGTCCTATGAGTTATTAGCATGCAAAGCCTTATCACAGGTTGTGCCAAAGGTTGGGCCCGCTAAGGACTTACCGATGTCAGGCGACAAGATCTGATACAACTTTTCTTGGTAGTTGCAGAGGGAGTGAGGAAACTGAGTTGGGAAGACTGCTAGTAATCCGAGGCTTTATATAGAAGAGCTCATGCAGATATGCATGGAGAAACGCCACCATAAAATCAGCCTATTCATTAATCTAGACCTAACCAAAGTTCCAAAAGCAATTTCCCAAAATGCTCAACAGAACAGAAAGTGCGGGCAACATTGCTTCATCGAGAAGATTGCATTTTTACCGGAATATGGCACCGAGCTGCGTGGTCGAGGATTGGCTCTGCCAGGGATCACCAGAGCATAAAGAGTAGATTTTGCACCAACCACGACGAAAATCTTGGTACTACATGAGAGTCTACCATCACTGATTGGCTATTTCAAGTTCAAAGGTAATCTTGGATGCATCGATGTTGGCTCGTGATGTCTGCTATGCCCGCTTACGCACAGGGCAATATTTTCAGCTCTGCTGAGGAATACATCCCGATTGGATAAGAGATTGATACCCCGGATCATGAAGCTGACACACATCAGTTAATGAATCAGAGGAATTGATCCGAACGATCACGAGAGGGTAAGAATGTTTTCGTCGTACACATTTCTGGGTACGGTCCTCAGAGTTCCCAACTACATTTGCACATTTCAACAAACACCAACACTAAAAGATATACCGCCGAGCACAAAGTTTCTGGTCGACTGATGAATGAGCACTTTCCTCTCCTGGATCAAAGCCTGGTAGGAGCTTTTAAGCTTATGTTTTGATCGCCGCTTATTGTCCAGGGGCGTAGCATAATGACCTAGCTCTTGCTTACTGATCAACTCCGAACATGTCACTGTGCAAGCCGGGTTTAATTTGACGAAACCGTGCGCTTTTTGACCGGGCCTTTTATCTGTATCGTGCTGGGCTTGATGCTGTTCATAAATTACTCGCTTGGCTTCACCTCCATAAGCATAATCAAACATACGCCAACATCAACTTGTCTTATCCACAACCCCAGAAACGAACTCTCCAAACCCCTGAATCAGACTACATTATCCAATTTACACCAACCTAAGAACCCCCCAGTCAAGATTCATCTTTTGTGAGTTTTCAGTGGGAAGTCCCATAAATCCATCAATAAACACAGGCCCAAGCACCTGATAGTCCTCGCCGACCTTCCGCAGCGCCATTGGAACTGGAATACCTTTGATTAGGGAGATAGTGTCCCCTTGTCTTATTGAAATTGGACCTGATCCAATCAAGCCATTGTCTGAAACAATCAAGCCCCGCCTTCCCGCTATTCGAGTGCAAGTATCTAGGAAAAGCTTGCTGCAGCCTTCACTCTGGCAGATAGCCTCCAATGCCCTTGTTGCAGCTGTTACAACAGCTGCAGCATCCCCCGGCATGCTATCCACTTCGATACCCAGTTGTGTTATTATCTCAAACATACGTCTGAAAGTATCTTCTTGTTCTGAGGTAATCTCAGAGCGAAGTATAGGTCGACCGGCCAGTGTAAGCATGATGGTCCATGGTATAGACTCATGCAATCTGAAAATGAGTGTATCCTTTCTGATACGTAAAACCCATTGGGCCAGAAACTGCACATTATTAACAGGCTTGCCATTCGTTGTCACCTCATTGCTCCTGAGTTCGTCAACCTCGCTTTTTTCTAGCGTCAAGCAGTAACTTGACATGCCCAGACATGCGGCTTGCACTGATAGGGTATTTCCAGAAACCGAATGAGCGAGATCTTGGTCAGTCGATGGCCGTTTTTCAACACCATGATAGACATAGGAGTCGGGCACCCAACTCTTGTTATTTTGGCTCCAGTCGGGAACCCAGCTGGGAGCATCCGGAAGACGACAGCCGCAATCGACAAGTAATGCAATTAGAGTGGGGTTCCATTCCATCAAACTGACAAGGCCATCGCGATAAACTTGGCCAAGTGGTTTCTGATAATCGGGGGTAGGCGGTTGTGCGCCGAGCTGCCGCAGTACGCTATCGATCGCATATACTCGGTCGTGTGGCCGTCTCGAATTACGGTCCCTAATAGCTTGTGCAAGAGCAACAAGATAATTCTGTGGTTGGAGACTAACATGGCAGATCAGACTGTACATTCGAGCCTTAGAACCCTGTATGCAGTCGAAAGAGCACTTTGTCAAGTTATCCGTGAAATATGAAAAAAAAATTGGCACGAAGGCCAAGACAAAAAGCTGAAAGATATTCATGAAGGCCGTGATGAAGGAGAGGACGAGAACCAGTGCTATATGATAAATACCCAGGCTCAGCCGAACGAAGCTTTTCAACCGGAAAACTTTGTCTGTTTCTAAAGACTGAACGTAATCATGGACTGAACAGCTGCTATCCTGCACACTACTGCGCCAACAGCTACTCCGCTTGGAATGGCGTGGAATAGTCTGCCAGACATCGAAAAGAGCTTGCCACTTTTTGAAGGAGTCTGAGTGGGATACGTCATCGTGTACTCGTCGCTGAATCTCGCTGACCACACTGTTGACTGGATCAATTAATGCCTGCGTTGCCGAATGCTCGATGAATGTCAGGGCTTGATGCATGACCAGCCAGGGAATATGCTGTCTTCCATAAACGAGAATGGGGTTTGATGCGAGCGTCATTTCCTGAAACGTCCAGCCGCGAGAAAGCCAGGTTTGTTCCAGAAGTGTATTAATCACGTCCTGGCTGACAAATGGAAGGCTGGACAGTTGCTCTACTAGAGTCAGTTTCAAACATGATATCACACGCACACTCAAAGAAAATGCCTTGTAAAGGATGGACTCACCGATTTGATCTGCGTATTTTAATCTTGCGAATGGCATGGCATGAATGAACGAACGGAATGTACCTTTTTTATATCGTTCGGTAATGAGGGGCTCAATACACAAGTTTCGAAAGGCAAGGGGCAGTGTATATCGACCAATTTCAATAAGGCGGCTGGAAAGGTTGCGCTGAGGATTGCCGCGAGAGCTTCCCGGTACTTTAGCAGGGAATAGGCGAAATTGTGAGATGGCGCCGATATACTCAGCAGCCTGATCAGTTTTCGTATTCCCGACACCCAGCCAAACATAAACGATTTCTGCACATGTGTAGATACTACCCATCAGCATAATTTGCTGTTCCTTCTCGCTGTTATCCCCCTGGTTGATGCAGATTGCATCAACCCAGATTGTCAGTGACTGGCACGATTCTCGAAGGGACGTCAATGCCTCATAGCAGGATTGTGTGATGTCGATATCGCAACCGTTGCAGGCAATCTTATGGTAAGAACCTGGGCCCCAGACATACGAAAGCGCAGTGAACTTGGGTAGAGCCCGTAGATCAACTGTGCGTAATGTGCCTGTGAGCCGATCACTATCGGCTGGATCACTCTTGTGAACATCAAGCACTCGTATGTACTGAGAACCTTGAGCTAGAGGGAGATTATCGTAAACTTGTCTTGCTGTGAAGGGGCCTATGTTAGGCAAGATGCTGCAGTTTCTACTAGGCATTGGAAAGACTGAATTGAATGGAGAAAGAAATTGCACGGGAGGGAGATTGAAGCTGAAAAAAACAAGAAGTGGTTGAAAAGCAAGCCAAGTCAGCCGCACAAGGCTAACAGACTGCGCCTTTGCTTATCCTGCATGTGCAGCAGACAAGCGGCTACCAAGCATACTCACTGGAGGCCTGATGCGATGTGCCCATTGCTGCGACCTTGTACGTACTTGGCTGTAACGGTTTGGCACAAGCATTTTCAACACCCTGGAAAGCCTGGCGCTTATTTATTCACTGTTCGCTGGGACTTGCTGTAACTCTCCACCAAGAGCTTTTTGCTACAAAAAGAGCAACATTCCGCCACCAATCCCTCCCTTGCCAATTGTAGCTGCATTTCTTTGTGAGGCTGATTTATTGATTTTGCTATCCAATGATCTGGAGGCACCCTCAGACTTGTGCTACACCGACCATGGGCTAGATCCTCTCATGGCCAATCACCATGCCCATAAGCGAAAGTGCGACATCCACGTCCTATAACACAGGCGGGGTTAGTCCTAGAATTGGAGCACTACCAGTGGTCCTGTCAATAGGCATCGCTGCTTGTCTCATCCCGTACTTACTTAGCCTACCGCCCGAACCCTAAGTCGCTCTTTCAGCAGCGGCTTGGCCTAAAGTAATATGAAATCAGTTCTTACGATGGAAATAGATTTTATTATGCTTGAGGTTCGTCTCCGAGTATTTGTTATCAATTCTATTTTTCGGGAATTCGGGATATAGATCAGATCAGGCCCCAATACCTGATTTAGCCAGGTCAAAATTACACGCCTCATACTCCCACTGCGTCTCAAAGCCTAGCTTCTCATAGAACCCCCGTATCGCAACAGCATCGATGAAAATTCCCTTCATACCTCTCTCTTTCAGGTTCTCCATCGCTTTGACAACGAGTGCTAAACCGACGCCCTTCCCTCTCTCAGCCTCGTCGACTCCGACCGCAGCGATGAGACCAGTCTTTTCCCCAGAAGGAAGAAGAGGAAGAAATGCGAAGAAATCGCCGGCTGAAGACCCAAAAGAGCACATGAGGGTCCAGCCAATCTGCTTGTTGGTGTCGGGGTCAATGGCGACCATTACTTCGTGATGTTGGCCTCGTGCTGCGAGGGCTTTGTAAATGCCGCCCCAGGTCTGAATGAGTTAGCCGGGTAAAGTGAATGCGGCAAATAAAACTACTTACGAATAGCTCGTCTTGTTTGGCCATGCATTCCTCGTACAGTTCTGGCGACCACGGAGTGAATTTGATATTTGTCTTTGAGACTCGCCCCATTGCCTCAGGCGGTGCGATCTCGGCCTGGATGTCCTTGTAAAGGTCTCGAACAGTATCAGTATTTTCGTACGTGCCTGGTTAGTCAGTTAGTAGATGACCATAGTTCTCTTGGATGGACCACTGACCTCTATGAGAGAGGAACTCTTTTGCTTCGGGTACGATACTGGTTGGCACTCGGTACCAAAACCTCGGGAATATGGACCCCATCGCTAAAGAGTTCAACTCCTGACCTGCGACCTTCGCTGCGTCTTTCAGTCCAGCCTTTGCTTTTTCTAGAAGCGCATTGCCGAGTCCTTTATGACGGTATTCGGGTAAGACTCCGATGGCCGCGATATTTCCGGAGTTCCCGCTCTTGGAGTAGTATGACAGGCAGAACCCATGCTCGTGAATCCAGTGCTGGCCCTTTAAGCCAAACAGAAGCCCTGCGAACCGCTCTTGCTCAATAGGCCAGTCTGGGAAGATGATGTGCCACAACTGCCAAGCTTGTTGGATATCTTCCTCTGAGCTCGTGAGCTCGCGTAAATCGTACTGAATCGCACCAACAGGTCCGTGCCCTTTGCTCTTTTGTTCTGCCATATCCAGTACCATGACTCAGAGAATGGGGTTTATGGCGTGTTTTGAGTCTTGATGTAATGTGATGGAGGTTGTTGGTGCGAAGGATCAGCGAAGGATGATAAACGCCTCAAAACACGTGAGCTGACTGAAAGGTGCGGAGTTATGCAAGGCGCCAGGGATCTTGCCAAAGAAGGAAGCTGCAGTTGAATCGTACAAGTTATGGCTTATTTATAAATTTACTAGTGCGACAAAGGGAATAAACTCTATAAATCATCTAGGATATATCCTCCCACTTCCCTACCCCCCAAACTAGACTACTCCCTCTAAGCACTCTCCCATTCACATCTACTCACTTCCAGTTGCACGGCGCGGCCCTCTACTCATCTTAGCCTCATCCTTAGCCCTCTCAATCACATCCTCCCAATTCGGCGGTTTGCTTCGAAGGTCCTGTCCAGCAGCCTCCGCATCAAAACCAAACTGCAACAGCGCATCTTCGCTACACCACTCTCCCGTAGCCATAAGCCCGACTGGAATTTTACCCTCCGTGTCTCTATCAGCAACTTCGCCAGCATCCTTTCTACCTTCGGGAACAACGTATCCAGCTGGGACGGTTATAGCGGGAAGACCGCAGAAGTTAGCAAGCCAGACGTATTCCATGCTTTGTAGTGTATAGTTTCCATCGTTAACACCATATGATAACTCGGACTTTCCTCCGCGGATAGGTGCACCGGCGCAAGCGGTAGTGGGGGTTACGATAAGCATGCCAGGGTATGTCTTCCAAAGATACGAAAGATGCTGCATCAACATTCCTCTCAACTTCTGAGCCAACAAATAATCCGTCGAAGGCGTAGTCCTTCCCAGCGCAAGCAGAATCTTGTTGGCAGGCGTCAAACCCTTGGTATCATAGAGTATTGTCGAAGCATCAGTCAGAACAGTAAGTGCATGCGCCATCTGACCCTCAGCAGGGAAGGGAATTTCAATCGGGACAAGGGTATATCCATGTTTAGCAGCCAAAGACTCAACAAGCCCGCGAACCAACGATTGAACACTCGGTGTAGCGCGTGAGATCCATGCGTCGAAGATACCGAGGACTTTCGTAACAGGCGGTGAAGGCTGCAGAGCCAAAGGTGGAAATTGCGTTGAAGGATGAGGTTCAGCGATGGCTTCGTACGCAGCTGCCAACGACTGCATATCTACAGCCAAGGGTCCTTGAACAGCACATGTAGGTGAGTGGTTCGCACCAGGCCAAGAAGCAAGTCTGTTATGCGTAGGTTTCAACCCAAACACGGAGCAAAACGATCCAGGAATGCGAATACTGCCACCGCCATCACTGCCCAACGCGAGCGGAATAAGTCCAGAACTGACAGCGTATGCAGGGCCAGATGAGCTTCCGCCGGTGTAATAGCCTGAATTGAAGGGGTTACGCGGCGTTCCTTGATTGGGGTTGTTTCCGGTCGTATCTGATAAGCGTCAGTCGATTTGAGGAATAAGAATAAGAATACGGGGCTTACCTAGTCCAAACTCGTGCATGGCCAGTTTGCCGATGATGACAACACCTGCTTCCTCGAGTTTTCGTACGATCCAGCTTGTAGTTGATTCTCCATCCTTGGGGGTTTCGGTGTAATCTCTTGGAGAGCCGAGAGTGGTGGAGTAGCCGTCTAAATCATAGTCATCTTTGATAGCGGAGGGGACGCCATCGAGGGGACCGAGGGGTTGCTTATTTTTATAGCGTTCCGTTGAGGCTTCAGCGGCTCTCATGATACGCTCAATATTGAGCTCCCTCCAGCCTTGGGCGTGTCGGCCAGGTGTTGGGCCATCGGTTTCAACCAAGGGCAGAATCGCCTTGGCAACGTCAACCGGGGTAAGCTCCCCAGAGAGATAGAGAGCTCGATAATCAGCTGCCGAGTAGAATTTTGACGGATTTAATGTCCGCGAATTATTTGCCTGTTGCAAAGCAGAAATCTGAACCCTCTCACCGCGTTCTTTAGCCTCAGCTTCAGAGAGCGCGATCGGCACGACAGTTGGATCGTAGCGAGGCTCGAAATGCTCAAGATAAGTCCGGATCTTCCGGAGCGAAGCGAAACCCGCATTAGCCCAAGCAGTCTCGCGAATGAACCGAATCCATTCCATCCTACACCATTAGCAACTCAAAACTTCTCATGCCATTCATAAAAACTTACAAAAAAGCAGCAGCAACAAGAAAAGGTCCTCTCAAGACCGGATTCCTATTCCGTTCAATAGCATAGGGGACATGAGGTCTGCGATAAGCAAGAATTGTCAGCACATGATTCGCCCATCACGCAATGTCATGCTTACCCCTCCTGGGGCTCAGGATAGTTAAAGAACCGCCTCTCATTATTGAAATTATTCATTTTTGAAGAGTGATGACGATGAGAAACTGACAAGGTTTGAAGTTGATGCAGGAATTCGGGGAATTTAAACTCTCGGATAAGGCGGCCACCGCGGAGACCGGTTTAGCGGTGTTAGTCATGGATCTACTGTACGTACTTCGGAGTCTCGGGACGCGTGATCTGATCTGATCTGCGTGGAGAATACGAGCGACGAATTACATGCCGAGGATTGGGGGCGAGTTGTATCAGAGGCTTAAAGCAGGATTTGCTATTGAAACGTATGGCTTAGTATAGGCAGCCACCAGCGTATATCCCATCCAACCACTCAATTATTGAAAACCTTGTCGTTGATGGCAACGACCAAAGCTGCGTAATCCTGATTATCCAAGTAATCAATGTACACAACGTTGGGGAACGATTTATCACTAACTTCAGGCAGAAGTCGCGTGAAGAGCTCTTTGTTGCAGGTATAAGCCAGCTTCTTAATCGGCTTCAAAGACCTCGGTGCAACCTTGACGAAAGTGACGACATCGCCATCCCATTGAGGCGCCTGTTGGGTCAGCGTCCAAGATAGGAGGAAAAGACGCTTATCCTTGGCGGACATGTGACCTTTCATCTTCTCAAGCTGGTCATTGACCATGACGACGGCGTCGTCTTTGTTGGAGTACTCGTTGCGAACATTCATCGCTTCGTATTTGTAGAATCCCTTGTGTGCGTAGTCGCCAATGTCGAGATCCCACTGCTCCATGACGCAGACAACCGCTGCCTTGCCGTTACCGATAAAATCATCAAGCTTCAGCTGAGTCAGATTCTTGGCCTTGTTCTTGTCCTCGACAATGAACAAGTGGTTCAGTTTGAGAAGCTCTTTCATGAGATTGTGCCATTCCTGCTTGGTGAACTCTCGCCATTCGTCGGTGTCGGTTTGAAGAGAGTGCGAAAAGTTCAGGATGATCAGTTCACCATTCTTCTTGGTGAATTCGTTGATGGCAGAAATGATGTCAGAAATCGATTCACCTCGACCTCCAACCTTGCCGGTATAGTGGCCGGTCCACAGATGGCCACCCGAGTACTGAGGCCGAAGATCAAAATATCGAGCACCATGCGCAAGCTGTCCCAGGACCGAGACAGACTGGCACAGAACGTACGGGTCAATGACGCCGCCAGGGACATCACAGTGAGATACAGTCGACATGCCCGAGTCGTGGGTACCCAGCATGCAAATCTGCGACAAAGGACGATGGCCCAGGATGTTCCTGTTCTTCTGCATCCAATCTGTAGGCGGGTTCGAAGAGTGAAAGTTTCCCTCCTTTCCAGAGAGTACAAACGTGACGCACTCGTCGTGCTGCCATCCCAATTCGATCTTGGAGCCGCGAGGATTGTTCAGCGCCTCCAGGCCGTCGAGCTGGATCCAGATGTTTGCGGGCTTATCGCGGACGTGGATTGAAAATGTCGCCTTGGTGCCCTCCAAGCTGTAGGTGACGGATCCACTAGTATCCCCACGCTTCTTAAGAACGCCATGGTCAAACTCAACATAAGTGGTGGGAACTTTGCCTTAGATATGGTCAGATCTCAATTTATGTCTCAAAGTCTGGTCGATTTACCTGCATCGATCGACTCCGGGAAGCTCCAGGCCTCCATCTGATAGCTGTTCTGCTGAGTCCGCTTCCATTTATACGGCGTACCGTTGACAAGGTTGATATAGCCGCCTTCACCCATTTTGTCTGTAGATTTCGATGGCAGTAGATGATATGAAGATGTCTAGGGATGATCAAAGCGGAGTAATCTGACTATTTGTATGTCCTCAACATTTTCTGGGTCTAGACCCTTGTTGTTTCAGCTCACTAGTGCCCAGCTGAAAACGTCTTGGCATTTCTCGGAGGCCACCTTGTCTACTCCGTGCTCACCATTACATTGATGATTGGCGATCTTAAAGACTCAGCCACCGGCAAGTTACGCCTTAATGCTTCGCGCTATTTGACGGGGAGAGATGTGAGGCGTTAATGGCGTTGTCACCCAGATCCCCGGAAAGAGGAGATTGCCAAGGCAAATATCCTCCGAGGAAATTGGACTCTGGGCTTGCTGTCTGTCTTGCTTTGTTCCCTATCGCTGAATAGCTGATGAGATCGTGTGCTCGGAACTCCCAAGTGGGGGGGGTATAGGGTGGTGAATTAAGTTCTGTGTGAAGCTCTCAGCGACAAGTCCCAACTGCAGATGATACATCTGGCTCACAGCTTTAGGGTAGTCAACTATCATTTCATTCACATAGAAATTTATGACTTTTGACTATCTAGGTGATCTCAATGAACCCAGATATGATTCACGAGGAGTACATTAAGGCGGGGGAGATTCATGTAATCAATTTTTATTCTTTTTGCACCCCAAAGAACTTTACCTTCAAGACTTTCGTGGCTCACTGGATTATAATCGCGCTCTAATAAACGATAATGCTCATGATCCTAAATATAACGCCTAAGAAAGAAGACTAGTAAAACAAGTCGCTCATCAGTAATTTGGCCGCCAACAACAAGAACTACATATGCTTGAACTACAAGCCTTCGGGTGTTCTTGGGCCGCTTGTCCTGTGCCCCTTTCATAACTACGAGAACGCTCCCTTGAAATGCACACGCGCGGCCAGCGGCACCCTTTCTTGCACTGCGCCGAATGGATTATGCTAGTCGAATGTAAACTGCGCGTGACCTAACAATGCAATCCCGTTCTCTCAGTTCTATGTGGATGGTTCTCAGAACGGTTATCTTGGTGATGCTAGTGGGGACTTTGGGTCGGGTTATACTGCCATTGACGTGATCCTGGCAGAGTAACGTGGAGGTTCGAGCTGACGTATTAGAAATACGAAGCTGAGAGCCTCTTCGTTCAGATCTTTAATTTTATATGAACATGCAATACAGTCATATAGTTCTTGCATATATTTCAAACGTCCTGACTTACAGTTTACTAACTCTAGGATTGTCCCTCTTTGACTCTCATTGTGACTAATATTGTAATAAAACAAGGCGAGGAGACCAAATCAGATTCGCGCGCTGAAAATATAGCCACTTCTGGGTTTCAGAAGCCCATCCTGTATTGTCTGGAATGATCATCCAGTCTTTCACCTCAGTAGAGATTACTGGCATATCCGAGCATTGTACTTCAGTCCTTAATAGCTGCCTTTTCTGAATAAGATTATAAATCTGATCAACCTATTCTTCTAAAAGTAGTTAGCACCCAGTCCTGGACAGGCAACGTAAAGTACTCACCCGCAGCAGGCCATCTCTTGCTTATCATTCTCATTTCTGGTATCACAGGGGCAATACTTTCATCATAACGACCAGGACAGGCTATTTTGAGTGCAACCAATACACTATGCAGCATACATACCAATCTTACTAGTGAGAAATGTTTTTGGTGCTCATCTTCACTGGAATTCTTTGCAAAGCTAAATTGTGCATCGACACTAGCCGTTGCATAACGCTGGCGTATGAAAACTCGCTCCATGTTAAGTTGTATCTGCTGGCTTAATGTATCAGCCTCAGGTATCACTCGCTCGATACTTTGGATTGGGCTATGGGGAAAACATGAGTGACCCACTTCCAACATGTGAGCAAAGACGCAGCTACCAGCATAGGTAAATACTTGGGTATTGGTCACAGACTAAGGATTTGAGCCTTACCTCGTGGGCAGTCGCCAAGACTGACCTAGGTCTTTGTGGTTGACTTCCTCGCCGAAAGGAGGAATAGAATTTTCATCTCAAATCGACAATTCACAATATGGGCTTGCAGTTCGAGGGTTGCGTTTCGAGTCGTGAACATGCTGCAGGATGTGTCCACATTGGAACACAATTTTACCAAGGTCCAGAACGCGCTGAGAGGCATTTTCAGGTCTCGGGACCCCGTTTGGAGTTTCCAAGACTGTGAAGTTATGCTTAACAGCCCTCACCATATCGTGATCACGAGGGCAAGCGAGAGGGATCCAGTTATGCTTCCGGTGTAGCGTTTGCGAGGCAACCAAGCTGTCATGTTGTTAGTTCTTTGACATTCAAACTCGTATATTGTGTGCATCTTACCTATCTATGAGCATGAGAGACAATCTCCACTCCAACGATGCCAATATGCTCGATAGGTCAACATCCAGCCTAGCCGCCATTGTGAAGGCTGAGTTAAGAGTCACATGCGCATGCTCAAGCATCCCATATCCACATTCATATAGCGCAATAAGACCCTGAGTCTGCACAAGCTCCGCATGGTTTGGAAGATCAAGTTGCATAAGTGCAAACAAGGCCTTGACAGCCACGTAGGGTCGTTTGGTTTGTGAGCATGCCTTGTGATGGCAAGGTGGTGTAGCGACGAGGAGAATGGCGAGATGTAAAATAGGCCAAGAGGAAGCTACAAGCTGAGAATGATGAGGACTGCCAGTCGTGCGAAGACTTTCCGCAAGAGGTAATGCCTCAAAGACAGGGTCTTTAAGGAGCTCAAGTATCGTGCAACCACGATCGCGAAAGACTCCCCTGACATTGTCTTCTAGCCCAGCCTTCGCAATGGGGTCACTTGAATCATATGCCAACATAGACTTCATCAGTTGAGCTTGGCCATGCTCTGTCAAGTCCCAGCCGCAAGGACCCAACTGGGAGAGGGGCCTCGTCGACGTTGGAGGCTCGGAGTCATGGTCTTACAATATTTCATAAGAAGTCGTCGAGCCCGTGACTCTGATGATAGGAGTTGAAGTCCTTGTCATTGAAGACCCGCATCTCTCGTATCTGCAGTAAGCGGGGGTTCTGTACTATGGTGTTGGCCAACGAGGCTACGCGTTACATGACTTCGTGCATCGTGAACAGTACGGGAGGGCTCGGTTGCACGTTGTCTTGCGGTCGAGACATCGTGAACAAGGCTCTAAGCTTTTCGATAATTACGAGACCTTGATGGTATCTTGAGATGGAAAGTGAATCAGAGCGACTACTGATGTGTGAGTTATTCCGCCTGATGCGACTCTTGTCCTCACGCGCTGGAGAAGGGTGAAGTTAAATCCATTCAAGGTCTTCATTTCAGTTTTCTAATTGGCTGTGAGAGGGTCCTTAGTGAGAAGTATTGCCTTTACTCTATACTACATAACTTGGGGCGGAAACGATTATCACTGTGTAACAAAACAAAGTCGTTTCCTTAAAAAAAAGTTTGCTCCTATCCAGAGTGCCTCCAGGAGAATCAAAAAGGAAATTCTGATGAGACTGGGACTCGAACCCAGGAGGATTGCTCCACCAGGAATTGGTGTTAAGGTTAACCTTAACCTGGCGCCATAACCAACTCGGCCATCTCACCGATGTCATTGGATGAAAACCATTGAGTCTTGCTAACCTATACACAATACAAAATCTCGAGTCACGGTATAACATCTGGATCTGTCTCTATTGTGCATCACTTCTGGACCGTGACTAAGAAATACTAATGTCACTGATAATTCAGCTTGCTTCAGTTAAGCAATCTTGCCTGGCTAATTACACAGCAGTCATAGATATCATCAGCTCAACTAGCCTGTGACCTATCGTCCCTTTGCTAGAAATGTGAGAGCACCCAATGCATACCCATCCAACCCAGTCTTGAGCGTCGGATGAATAACCGGAGCAAACTTGGAAGAATGATTCGCAGCAATACTCTGCGCAACAGTCCCCTCCTTCTCAGCCTTGTCCCAAATATCCCCATCGACGCAACCGTATGTGAAGAAGCAATACGGCTTAGCAACAGCAGTAGCCAAGATCGAAAAGTCCTCGCTGAAAGCAAGTTTCGGCATATCCCTGTCGTATTTTCCAGGCCCTTCGCCAAAGTGCGCAGCAAATGACTCTTCCACTCTCTTAGTGACAGCCTCGTCGTTGATCGTCAGAGGAAAAGCTCGGGTTTGCTCAAACTCTGGACTTTTGAGGACATTGGCACACGAGCACTCTGCTTCTATGACTGTTTTTATGCGCTTTAGGAGATGCTCGCGTGTTGCGATCGTAGTAGATCGGGTGTCGACGCCAAGAACGGCTGAGTCGGCAATGACGTTCTCAGCATCCCCAGCGTGAATACTCGTGACGGTTACCACGCTTGACTCAGCTGGGTCAACTTCGCGGCTGACGAGTGTCTGCAGCTTAAGAATAGCATTGGCTGAAATAGCGATGGGATCAATGGCAGTATGGGGCATACTCGCATGCGAACCTTTGCCGTGGATCGTGACTTTGTAGTTATCCGCGCTCGTGGCAACAAGTCCTCTTCGTGTACCGATTGTACCAGCACGTAAAGGTCTTACATGTGCTCCCAGAACGAAGTCCGGAATTGGAACCTCATGTTTAGTGTAAAGACCGTCGTCAACCATTGCTTGCGCGCCAGTACCGCGCTCCTCAGCAGGTTGAAAGGCCAGGACCAAAGTTCCAGCCCAGGATTCCCGGGACGAGAAAAGAGTTGCCGCAGCACCTAGTAATGTTACAATGTGCATATCATGACCGCAAGCATGCATAACAGGCTTCTCAACTCCGCTCGCAGCATGGATCATGCGTTTTGTGCTTGCATACTCTAAGCCTGTAGTCTCTTGGACTGGCAGAGCATCAATGTCTGCACGAAGTAAGACAGTGGGGCCATCGCCATTGCGGAGAACGGCAGCTAAGCCATGGCCACCAATATGAGGCTTAACAACGAGATCTTCAGGGCCAATCTCCCTAAGTCGTTTGGCGATAGTAGCCGCTGTTTCGACTTCTTGGTTGGAGAGCTCGGGGTTGTGATGGAGATGCTTGTACAACTCCTCTAACGGTTGAAGGTCAGGCCGATGCTGGTCTACCAAGTCTGATAAAATTGATTTTGACATTTTGTGGTACAGACCCTTAAAGAAGTGAGGATGAGAGGAATATGGGAGTCATATAGTGTGGAGGAGTTGTGGATTATTCATGCTGAATCCTCCGGACATTTACCCGAGTCATGTTATCCATCTTTGCTTACACCATCGTCGCTGGGCCGAGGCTGCTACTTAAGCCAAATTCCAACAGTTTGCATAAATTCATCATGACGAGACTTTAAGGAAAGGCTAGAATTTTTTTTTCTTGGATTAGGTTGCCACACTAATAGTGAAGAACCGATGTACAAACAATTTCGCGATAGTTGACGTTTCTCCCCGAAAGAAATTAACCGGTGCCCTTCCGAAGCTCTCGGGGATAGCTTCCGAGAATTTAGAATCTAGAAACGGGTGTCTAGGCGAACTATAGGCGAGTCGCCAGGGTTATAGGAGCAAATAGTAGAAAAATACGGCAACACTTTATTGTAATACTAGTCAAGGCAAACATATAAGAGTTGGGACGCAAGAATACAAATGAGTTAAATCAAGTCAAGAGTTAAAGCTAAGTATGCACAAGGAAGTTCTACATCTAATCAAACACAGGGCTACATTGGTAAAGTCGCCAGCGGTGTCTCTCTCTCTGTTTCTGGACCCTTTCCCTTATAGTGCTGCATACTCAAACACAGGCTCATCAGGCTGGCAGGTAGTGTTGAGCTTGGGCATCTCTCCATCAACGAAATAGTTTTTGACAATCTCTTGCGTACAGTTCGATGGGTGAGCCATCAGTCCGTGCTATAACTCTCAGTTAGCAAAGATTCCTCATCACTCTGGTGTGCAGGGGATACTTACACCTACACCTTCGTGAACCACGACTCGGCTTCCTCGGAATTGAGCGGACACGCCCCAGGCACTACTCAAAGGTGTAACAGGATCATATCGTCCATTAACGATAAGAAGCGGGTTTTTTGTCTTCACATTCCTCAGCTTGTTAATATCGATCTGCTCCTTCGCAGAAAATTTCCACTGCGCACAGAATAGTCTCGCAACTGTTCCGAGTTCAGAGAAAGATCCCTCAGCGCGATGAGCTTGGAAAATGGAAAACAAATCATCCTGGTCCTCAACGCGGAACGAAGAGTCGCTGCATGCGATACCATTGGTGACGAACTCAGCGGCAATGTTCCACTCGCTTTCCAGCGGGCTCTCATTCCTCATTTTGAACATGGCTGTGACGTTATTGTTGAAAAGACCTTCGATGCGGTTGATGATGCTGGGGTAATTTACAGGGCTGTAGAGTTCTCCAAAGATGAGGTTTTTGAAAGTGATGATGAGCAGATTCATATCATCGCTGGGAAGATCATCCTCATCGATGTCACCGCCGGGGAGGGTTCCATTGAGATAACCTCCCAGCATCTCTCTAAACTCCTCGAGGAGGCTCTCGCCTGTTGTGCTGTTTCCGTGATAGTCTGCGAGAGAGCAAAGTTCCTTTCCAGATTCAACACACTCGTCCAGAAGATTGGAAAGTGATCGTTCGGCATCTCTCATGCTGTTGATCCACGTTGTAACCGCATAGTCATCGGCTTTCAAGTTGGCATCAATCAACATGCGGCCAATACGCTCAGGGAACATAGAAGCAGTGACCTGGCCTAGGATAGTTCCGTAAGAGACACCCCAGTAGTTAAGCATGGGTCCTTGACCCAATGCATCAACAATAGAGATCATATCCCTCGCGACAAAGGGTGTTCCAACAAAACGCCCTGTGTCTTGTCGACTCTCATAGCAATTCTCCGCCAAGCTACCAGCAAGTTCCCAAGTCTGATTCCTGACAATATCCCAGGTCTCAGCCTGCGGAATTGTGTTGAACTCTCTACGACGAAGACCCTTTGCACTTGTGAGATTCGTTCCCGTGCCAAAGCCTGTTCCATTGCAGATGAACGGAATCGTACGACCAGTTCCTCTGAATAATTGTTAGTGTTACATAACACCAAGCATAGGAAGAGGCTGAGCTTACCGGGGGTCGAATCCAATGACATCATATTGTCCGCCAAGAACTCTGTGATGCATGTCAGCATTGGACTGTAATTTTGCGGATGTAACTTACGCGGCAAGTTCCATTCCGGAATAGACGATGGCCTCGACGCCTGAACCACCGGGACCGCCGGGGTTGTACAGAACGCTGCCTAGGTAGGGCTCTTTGGAGGCTTTGGCTTTGATCAGGTCAAGTTTGATGGTTTCGCCGTTGCTTGCAGACGTATAGTCCAAAGGAACGGAGAGTCTGGCGCAGTCATAATTTCTCTGTCGCTTGTTTGTCGAATTATCTCCAAAGTCCAAGTCACATTCTGACCAGTCTATTTTGGAGCTGTTTGAGTTCTTGAGGTCATCTCTGGGTTTCAGAGCAGCGAAAACATCTTTCGGTAAAGTTGAGGCCTGTGCTGCCTGAAGAAGTAGATGGCTCAGAAAAACAGTTTGAAACTTCATGATGGAGGAATTGATACGAGAATGCGGTATGAAACATTGTAGTATTCGGGATATTCTTCATCCTATTTAAGCATAAATCTCTCGGACTTTCAGCCATCTTGTCCGTCATCGCAGCACTGCCTTGTTTGTTGATCCAAGGCTATGTTCCTCGGCAAAAGCCAAGGATTAGTCGTACGTAGAGACGGAACAGCCCAGACTCCGCTGCCCAACCAAGTCCCCATTTCCAAGACGCGTTAATCCGTGGCTCAACAGCTGAGCCTCGCTAGCGGTATATTTCGCCTGAAATGGATAGTGGACTCAGGCGTTGGCCAAGAGAATCAGATCTGCCTTGGGGGCCAACGCCTTGGCGCCCAGCTTTAGTTATCAGCTTGCGAAGATCTCTAGGCTACATGATGCGTCATGACGAGGCTTGCCAAGTGAAGGATCCAGAATTGGGATTGAAGGATGGAGGTGCAGGATCAAACACGATGGATGTAAATGCGGTGAAACAAAGACATGCAGTGAAGTATGCCTATGACGCATCTCACGAGATGTAGTTATGTTTTATTCAAACTTTTGAAGTGACTATCCCGATAACGTATAGTTTTGGCTTTACGCCTGGGCTCCAGATCGGTATGAGCTTGCAAGGTGCACGCTTTCACCATTTGCCTCCAGTTATGTGTCAGGAAGGTATGTGATCGAAGTCTCTGAATATGTTATAAATATGATAATTTGTGAACAAAGGCCATCTCATCAAATCAATACATAAGGATTTCATCGGATAGAAAGATTTTAAGCAAAGAATTTAGCATTAATAGCAGTTTTATGAAGAGTCTATCATAACAGACCTACCAAAGCGTCAGTACCCTCCTACTCACATTTGCCGTACTAGGTAGCATCTCGATTGGATCATAAATTATCTTTATAGAGCTAAGCAATCAACCTAACTGCGCCGTATATCTTAGTAGCCAACTGCTCCAATTTCGTTCCTTCAATACGTGACCCCTCGATTCCGCGATCCTGCCGCTCCAACACTATAAACTCGATAGGCTCAGCTTCGATCTCACAGCAGGAATCGAAATTATTCCCCCAATAAGCTTTCGCTCTCTTTGAACTCGTCCTCTATCGATACCATTGAAGGGCAAGATGGAATCTCATAATTAGAAAGCAGCAGACCTTGGCCGATAATGCTATACTCGTCTACTTCCGCACTGCGCCTCAAACCCAGTAATTCACCAATGACTGGCACCTTGATGATGCTGTCACCTTCTTGGGCATCACAGCAGAGTAACGCACAAATTACAGAACCACAAAATAGCTGTATTGTTCCTTCCGGAGTCTTGTACATTCAGCTTCAATCTGATCTGAACTTTTCGGAAGTTGATAATGATTACGAACCAGACCGGCAGAAAGCTGACTGCAAGTGTTTCGAAATATTGCCATGAATGTAGCCTTAAATTTGAACGACATCGGTGGGTAATTGCCGCGACCAAGGGGCTGAGACCGGCTCTTCAGCCTCGCTTCCACAAGGGGCCTCAAGAGCTTATGGTCGTGTGAAAGTTCAAGTGCGTTAAGGACGGCCCATATATCTGTCCTCGGCGATTTTGCAATGCTGGTGAACAACTGCGATAGGTCTGAAATCGGAGAGGGTTCGTAGACAGGCTGGGCAGGTGGGATACCTTTTGGCCACCGGATCATGGGCAATACACCGAAGACTTTATCCTCTAGTCTTGCGCATCCGAAAGGTTTTGACCTTTCGAGTAGCATATGAGCTGGTATAGGTACTGATGCGTGTGAGGCCAAGACAAATCGGCAACAATATAAACCTAGTTCCTCGCTAGAGACTGGCTCCTGGCCCCACGCAGTCATATTCGATTCTTTGTAGGTCGCTCGGCAGATAAAGTCGCATATTCCCATCTCGGACCTTGAAAAGCTATCCGAGCCGCAAAGTGTTTCTAACTGACCATTGTTTCTGTTTGATGCCACGACTTCCTGGATGATCCAAAGACTTTCCAGTATCTCCGATTGGCAAAAGTAGAGAAGGCCTGCCTGAATTGAGTATAGAACTCACGGGCTGAAAGTTGCGACTGTAGGAGGAACAGTTCTTCAAACTTCTCAAAATCCTGGTGAAGAAAATAATCGTCCTCGGTTCCGGGGCCTGAAAACCCTCTTTCCGCCCGGTAGTACAGGTTCGGACTCAGGGTCTTGATACTGTTCAAGGAATTGCGAATTATTTGGCTGTTATTTTGATGAGGCCCGACACAAGCCAGTGCCTTGGATGCTTTGGGAAATATATCGCCCATCATGGCAATCTGATATGACTTCTCGTCGTTGTCACCCTGATTGATGCAGATGGAATCAAGCCAGATAAAGACAGGCTTTCTAGGAAGCGACAGATAACGATCCCTGACTTGCATCAAGGCATAGTGGCAGTTCTCAGTCACCATCATCAGCTGGCCGTCGATGACGATCTCTTCGGTGAAGTCGCATTCTCCCCAATTATTTTCATGTCTGCCTACTGTCAAGACCCCATTTAAGCCATCACTCCAGCCAGCCTTATCTTCGGTTATTGTGGTGCATCACTTCCGCCGTCTGGTGGCTACCTAGGGGTTTTCAATAATTGTCGTGTTTTGCACTGGCAGGACGGAGAGCTATAAGAGACAGGATATTCTTTTTGGAACTGCTGGGTTATGGCATACCCCACACCGAATTATCCAACTCGAAATGGCATACTATGATCACCCTCTACTGCATCCCGAGAAGACTATGTATATCAAACTTGAAGAATAGAACACGACCTGTAGTTGTTCCAATAATCACCGTCGATCCAGAAACCTCGATATAACGCGGATAATCCCGAAAACCGCCTATGGGCCGTATTTCTGGCCATAGCCAGAAAATCTTGTGGTGCTTCCACAGCAACCAAGACCCATCGTAGCTAATCCCGTATCCCGTCAAATTCTCATCGAAACGAATTCGGCAAGTTTCATTTTTGAAAGCTTTGCGAAGTGCCAGTGTGCCAAGATTAGTGTGGATCTCCTTAGTGGTAGCGTCAAAATCGAATCGCATCGGCCAAAAGTTGGTATCTATCCCCAGGCGACGCAACAGCAGACCGGTTGAGGAGTCCCTGAGAGTGAAATACTCGCGGTCATATGTGACAAGAACTGAATCTTTCTTGGCTAGCGAGGTATGGTATACGTCAGAGCGCAATTCGAAGTGGTAAAGCGACTCTCCTGTGTCGGTCAAAATCGCCAATGCCCTCAAAATCGCCGATGACTCTTCCAGTGTTCTTAAAACCACAAACTTTGCGTCTGAAGAAACGGCCAATATTCCCGGATTATTGGTTAGCAGTTTAATGCTCGCAAGCTGGTCGCCACTATCAATGCTGAATTTGGATAAAAGGAATTCTTGACGTTGATGCGGATCCCGATTAGCAGAATCTTCTCTGTCGGATGCCTCACAGAGAACAAGCAGAAGCTGGGAATTAGGAGAAATAACCACATCATAAACGGGCCCGGTGAAGGTGAGCTCACGAGTCATAGAAAACGTATCGAGTGCAATAAACGTGACATTCCTATGACGGACTGAGAAGATCCAGCGCTCCTTAGGGGAAACAGACACTGCAGATCCTTGGTAACCAAAAGGGCCATATATCTTGGTCTGTAGACTGATGACACATTCGCCTGTTGTCAAGTCCCAAACTCTGAAACGGCCGTCGAAGGAGTAGATACCTTTGCCAGGCAGCCTGTTAAACTGTCAGTTACAGCTGAGACCTGTGGCCAAGAGATGATTAAAAATACCATTTTCTTGGGGCCCTTGACACATACAGATACTTTCCATCTTTAGTGAATTGGAATAGCTGTAGTGATATGTCGTGGGAGATTTGTATCTGATCCCTATCGTTAAACTCATGGATGCAACCGTGTGTGTCCATATTCCACACTCTTACAATTCCATAGACGGAATAAGAGGCTGCAAGAGTGCGATCCAACGATAGCACCACTGACATTATCGGATCTGAAACCTTTTTTGAACTTTGGTCTGTTGCTCCGGCACCGTTCGCCCAGACGCTTATAGCTCTGGTGGGTCCGCCCCAAGTTAGCAACGTGAAGTCTGGAGAAAGAAACAAGCTCCTCCAAGGTTGGCCACTTTCGAAAAGGGTTAAACATTCTCCTGTCTCAACTCTCCAAGTTCTGATAGATCCACTCTCACTGATGGTCGCCAGAGTCGTCTGATCGAGGGAAAATTGGGTAGACTCAATCGGCTCCGGGCAATCGAAGGTGCTAATGACTTCTGCCGAGTTGATCCACCTGATTTCGACAACCGTGCGGAGACAGAAGGGACCGTCACCCTCAGTGGGAAAAGTGCCAGCCATCATAATTGAGGCGTTGTTGGTCATGGCAACTGAGACTGATCGGCCATGCCATGAGTGAGGACAAAATGAGGTTCGAAAAAATTGGTTCATGCTCTGACATCGGATGCACTGGAAAGTTTTAGTTTCCCACACTGCATACTCGCCAGCGCAGGTAGATATAATTGTAAGCAGCGAGGAATCGGGGGAGAATTCCATGAAGTAGGCCGGCGAATATCTTCCTATCCCATGATTGTGATAGTTACACAGTAATGCAGGGCGGATGATTTGTTCGGAACCTGCGAGCCAATTTTCGTTGGCAGATTCAGCCGTGTCCAGATCCAGAACAATTGCACAGCCTGTGTCTGTTATCGAGACAAGGAGTCTAGAGTCTGGAGAAAACTTGAAATGCTGCCTGTGGTCTTCCACAGCGAGTGATCCCATTAGCTCCCCAGTATCCACATGCCAAACCTTCAAGAAGAGGCGATGACTCTCGTCGCCGGCGCGAGGCATGCTCCCGTCACTCCCAGTATAGGCCTCCGGTACTTGGCTGTTCGTGTTAGCGTCCTCTTCTCCGCTGCTTGTATTAGCTTCCTCTCCTTGGCTTCTGTTATTAGAGTTCTCTGCGTCGCTCATGATATCGTTATCTCCTTCCTGGCTATTGGTATCAGATATCTTATCATCGTGCACAGATTCAGTCTCCCAGTCGAATCTCCCCACATCAGGAAAGCTCTGGCTCGTAGCGGCCAGCCACATTCCGTCATGTGAAAGCTCAAAAGAAGTCAAATATAGTACTCTATTGCTATTGAGGGTGCGAATGCATTCGCCAGTCTCAAGGCGCCAGATGCGAATATTTTCATCACCATTGAGAGTACCTAGGAGTGAGTTGTCTGAGGAGAAGGAGAAACCAATATTTGAATACACTTGCTGACCTTCTAGTATGTACCGCGCCTGATCTGACGTCTTGCTAGGTTCGGGAGCATGCAATAACCACGGAGGAAGTCTTATCGGACAAGTTTGATCTAACTGACTACCGGATGGTATAGAGAATATCAGCGAGGAGTATAACTGAAGAGGGTGTTGATCAATGATTGTCGAGTTCATTTGAAGAAAGCTTTGGATTTCGCGGAGCAAGTTGTCATGTAACTTGTTCTGTTCGTTCTGTACTATTAGTTTCAAGGTCGATACACTCGATATCCATACATACCTTGATGACAGTTTGAAGTATCTTGATTACTTGGATACTTTCCTTAAATCTCCCTATGAGACTCAGGGCCTCCAACCAGTGGAATAGATGCTTCTGAAAGAATGAGAAAATTTTATCGAGGCTAAGCAAAGGGAATTCGATCTTTTGAAAGTGGTAAGCCCAATGGCGGCAGGCATACTGCAGTTCACCGGGAATGGAAGATGCTACCTGCTCAGAGGGAATCTCAGTACGCTGCGTTCCTGGCCATACTAGACCGCAAATGTCTTCCCTCAAGCTATTATCCATTATTCGCAAACAGCTCTTGAAGAGACTGAGGTGTATACGCTGCTCGTCTACCCAGAAGTCATTCGTCTGACTCTGATTAGGATCAGTGAGATAGTCTCGTAATGAGATATGCAATAGCCGCACTGGTTCCTGAAGGCCTAGCGGCACGTTTAATATCGAGTGGAGTGCATTTAACCGACTAAACACGATTCTGACTGGAAGGTCGAGCAACTTTGATATTGCCATGATCGATAAGGGGTCAGCTAGGATAACAATGCTTCCAACGATGTGGCAGGTTTGCTCGACGATCTGCCTGCGCTCCTCTTCAGAGACACCACTGACTATAGAACGCAGGATTGGTCCGTAGGTTTGTCCGAGATGACTCCCATAATTGTTGTTGCTAAGTTGAAAGTACCGGTGCAGCTGCTCTGAGGGACTATCGACTTTGTAGTTCGACACAAAGCGGCAAACGGTGGCAGCAAAGATAAAAAGAGGGACAGCCATTTCAGTCAACTTATTTATATCATTGTCTCCTGGCCAACATCGGGGTAACCCAATCTCTGGGGGCACGACTTCATTGAATTCGACTCGAATCCTTTCAAACTCATTCAGGAAGAAGGCCATTATATCGTGCTTGATAGTATTCACCGGCATGTCGTGTAAAACTAAGGCTTGATAGGTGCCGTTAGCCTTTGCAAACCCCATGCGAATCGGAAGATCTGGCCGGCTCGTTATAAGGACTCGAAGATATTTTCGAATAGAGGTAGCGCTTGAGAGGATGCGAATCAAAGACTTGATCTCACCCTCCTTTTGGCATTCATCTAGAGCGTCAATGACAAATGCTAGTGGAGTCTTGGCCAGCTCTTTCAGTGGAGCCTCAATAAGCTCAGCAAACTGTTTTGATACAGCCTTGCTAACTATACCAGGATCAGAATCGAGCGTTTTCTTGACGATCTGGGCATATCCTGGGACGACCCTGGCCAACTGTCGGGCCATACTAGGCATGAACTTGACAAGGCTTTCTCGGTCTGCTTCGCCTCTCTTGAAAAAGAAGCTGGCCCCAAGATCGCCGGTCTCAGCTCTTGACTTTGCAATCGTGCGTGCAATAGTTGACTTTCCTGTTCCCGCCATCCCATTAAGCCATAGTATCGGTTTAGATGCATCGTCTTCAACCCAGTTGGACAACTCTTTAAGGAGGTCGACTCTGGTATTGGCCAAACACATCGAGTTATGCTCCTCAGCGTGAGAATCGAAACGGGCCCCTTCTACATCCGGTAACCGATCAAGGACAATATTGGAGTCGATGTTCTGGACCGAGATACTAGTTTGTATGGATTAGTAGTGGATCCCACGTATGCCGTTGCCTAGTTCACCTCAAATCTTTTATCTTGTCTTCAACTGTTCGTTTGCGTAAGCGACATATACCTCGATTGGTGGACTGTGACTAACTTGACTTGACCACCTCGATAACCTTCTGTGTTGCTTGAACTTGCTTAGTCGGGACATACTGAAGAAGCTCAACAGCAAAGGCGGCAGCTGTAGCAGCGGCATATCGTTGCCACCGATCGTTCTTGTGAGAGTCTGCATAGTCGCAGATACCACGGATCACGAGACACGGGAACTTGTCCATCAGCCCTGCGGCTTCCATCTCAACACATAGAAACTGCTGTCGTTCTGATAACTTGTCACGTGTGGCAGCATCCTTGATTAGAGATTCACCAGAGGCAATAATACCATAGTGGATTTCCGGGTCAGTCGAATCTCGTTCTTCGCGTTCTACCTCCCAGGCAGAGTCACACTTGGAACAAGTGGCACCGCCAACATGACTGTATTCGGACTTGTACAGCTGGTCATTCGCGGCCCCTGGGTGAGTGTAGTTCCTCTTTCCCTTTGTCATGAACCGATTGTTCGCACTCCACATTGTTTCGAGTAGATCTGGGATCTTTGATGGCATCATTTCGTGTCTTGCTTGTAAACTTGCCAGTGCATGAAGTAGTACCGGAGGGGGTTTACTGAGAGAACCTTTCTGTTCCCAGATGCCGTCTGCCTTTGCCTTTCCGAAGTCGTATTGGACCACGCCTCCAGTTGTTCCGGTAGGTTGGCTGACAACAACATCACCTAGTCGAATATCCTGGTCCTCATCAGGCTTTGCGATACCTCCTCCTATCCCAACCAATAATCCGAAACGGATATGGGGCAGTGAACAGATCAAGTCTGATGCCGCAGTTGCTGCAGATATCGTACCATAGACTCCTGCTTGGAGTGAGGCAATAACGATATTGTGTTCTCCAATTCGACCCCAGCTGTACGAGTTGTTGTCGATTTCATGCTGAATGAACCCCTCGGGCTCATCATGTATCTCGTCGACGTCGAGTAAGGCAGTTGCTGCTGCTCGTTCAATAGGCAGAGCAGCGATCCATGCAATGGTGTATAGCTCAGGGCTTCCAAGTTGAGGTGCCATGTCTGGCATCTTGGTATAATGTCTAAGCTGTGAGCTAGAAGTGTTATTTGCCGCTGAGACCTGTGGCTGAGAGCTTAATCCGGCCGAGAGAAGATAGTGCCATGTCTGGCGAAGGATCAGACTACGTAACAAGCAAAACGTCGAGATACTCTCAGCTTGATAGATGAAGGGAAGATGCGGGGTATTTCTGCGTTGGTGAAAAGTCATGCCTGCTATTGATAAGCCGCTTGCATTTTCAGCTGACCCAAACCTACAGCCATGAAAGGTGGTGGCCACTCAGCAGACGGAATTAAGCGCGCAGCCTGCTTTTCTGAAACTAGAGGGCAAACAAGTCCTTGCTGTCTGTTCTGCCTATTGTTCTTTGGATAAGTATCTGGATAAGTAGCCCTCGGGGAGCAAGAAAACACCAGACCTCGATATAAGGTATCAAAATAAACTCAGTAAAGGGTATCCTAAATTTAGGCTAAATTTAGGTTAGTTTACCTAAGTCTTTTTGTCATTTAGGACTAAGGTCCTGAGTTTTCTTTCCTCCCGTTTAAATTTTAAAGCGGGAGACAGAGTCTGTTATGTTGCCAATACTGTATAACTTATCCGTTATGTTGTTTATCGGGCATTGAGATATTTGTTCATGACTATGATTTCGGTCATAAAGATGCAGCTTTATGGCAATCTCGATGGTGTATAAAACGTCCTCCCTTTACGCAATACCGTATAATGGATATATCCCACCTATCTTAACTGCAAGTCTCAAACATAGTCAAATCGATTAGATCAATAAGGTTCCCAATTACCATGTTCCCAGTTTCCTTCTCAAAGCAAGGCTGCTCCAGTCATCACTGATGTACCTCATGCTCTTCCAACATCTTGATACTGAGAATATGCTATGGACGAGTTAAAGGGACAAGCAGTATTTTCCAAGCGGTGGCTTCTAGTCACTTAAAGAGCCAATCCAGCAAGACGAGAGATTATATCAGGTACCAGGAAGCCGGCTTCTCTTTCTTCCTCTATCGCAATAAAAAGGGTAACCTGAATGGTTTCTGTAACCCAACACGAATCATATTGCCACAACGAGGCAACCGACAAAGACTTGCATAAAATTGATCAGCCCTTGAAGTAAGTTAAACCTGAAGACAAAGATATTTGTGATGCAGCCCAGACGAATCTTCATACAGGTGTCTATGTCACAAGAGACCTGAGTTAACTTAACAAGAAGGGCATGTTATCCTTTCAGAGATGGCTCAAGGATGCAGTTGATCTGCATCGATAATAGGGGCACAAGAATAGCAAGGAGATTTGACCAGCGATACGTACGGCTTCAAGAAATGGAAGTCAGGAAGAGGTTGGGTTTTATCAGAGGCTTTATCAGTAGGCGACCAAAGAAGTTGAATGGCGACGATCACAGCAACGCAGTTGTGATGTCTTTTTGTCTGAAAGAAGGATGATTTAATTTCGCTTTGTCAGGAACATCAGTTTCGCGAATGTTGCGGAATTTCTGGCCATCGTACCTCGTAACACGACGCTGTTGAGTTGTGAAATAATGATAGATCTCGTGCAAATACCGCTGCTACAAGACACCGCAAAATTTCTTTCCTGTGCAAAGCATCGATATAATGTGACAGGTGACAAATTGAGGAAGGAAAAAGATCCGCACCATCCAACAGCGAGTCGTCGTACTTTTGTCTAGAGTAGCAGTCCGAGTGGATGGTGATTTTGGTCAAACACTCATGCGCTGAAGTGAGACATTCCTTGGAGGTTCAGGGTAAGACAACGCCATGGTTAGCGGTAGGACTTCATCAGATAATTGTTGTATGATTTTGCTAGCGTACAAGATGCCTCAGCAGTACATTATGCAGCAGACTGGGATCCTACGCACCTATTTACCACTCAAGGGAACTACTGCCCTTGACGACACTCATGCCATTCGGGCTGTGTGTGTTGCATCGATACAACCCCGAAAAGCTGGAGCCACTAAATGCCACTCTGAATGTCACCAAGACGGCGCCTAAAAACGGGACCCAACAACACAGGGCTGAAAGTTCAAGTAGCAAGTATTTTGTCCACGATATCCCTATCACCTCGCCAAACTCGACATCCAAGATGCTATCGGATTCATGGATTAAAAAGCTTGTTACCCCTGCCCAGATCCTAAGCTTTACTCCAAATTCGCAGTCCAAACTCCAACGAGATTTTAACCCACTCACCTGGCAGGGATATTATTAGCCATGCTACGACAACGAGGACATGGGGGCCAAAACGAACCATGATTTGCGGACTGGATGCGGTCAGCTTACAGATCGTAGCCTGTAATACCATTTTGAAACCAGGGATCGTCGTTATAAAGGCTCCAAATTGCGCCCCCATTTAATCCTGCCTTACTGATCCGCTGCTTTTCCCTGCCTGTCTCTTGGTTCTTCCCTTTCATTTATTGTTTCGTTAGCGGGTTTCGATCGTCCTGAGTTGCGCAATGAGTCAACAACAACATCTTCCGGATAGCGAAGGCCTCCAGGTCAACACAGACGCTGAACAAGCCGCCAAAGCTCCAGAAGTAGCGCCCGGTTACGATAACGGCAATTACTACATCCCTCCCGGTTATCATCATCCTCAGCAGGCGTCATCGGATGGAGTAAGGATTCCTTTTGGGCTTGGAGTTTGGACTTTCGCCGCGCTTGTCGCTCTATGTACGGCTATCGTTGTCGGCGCAGGTGTTGGTGGTGGATTGGGCGCTGCTTTAGCAAACAAATCGTAAGTTTAAACTTGGAATATGCTCAATTATGCTTATTGACATGTCAATCAATAGTAGTGATTGCTCAGCGAACTTGGCATCTGGTACCGCTCCCGCCGCGACAGCAGAACCAACCGCGACCTCATGCCCAACGCCCGACAACAGCACATCAGTCAACGACACAGCCCCCTATGTACCGAGAGCTGCTGATACAGTCAGTCTGCTGGAGCTAGAATGCCCCGATTCCAAGAAAGACGAGACACGGTACAAGACCAACAAAGGCTACGAGTTCAAGTGGTGGTGCGGCGTCAACGCAGCACAAGGCACCCCGGCTGAGGGAGGAGGTATTGTTGCCGACTACGCGCCTATATATGCCTATACGATTGAAGACTGCATGGAAGCTTGCGGCAACATGATCGACAAAGACGCCGAGACCGGCAACGGAGTGAAATGCGCTAGCATCGTCTTTTCGAAGCGTATGAAGGACGAATTAGACGGTTTAAACGCGAACTGCTGGTTGAAGAATAATTCCAAGGCGCAGGCAAGTTCTCTGGTCCAACTTTATAATGATCCGATGCTAATTTGATGATAGGGGAGTAATTGGGGTTTCAAGGACGATTGGTACGCATACGCGGAGCTGGACAATTGAATAAGCCGAAGTGGGGTGTTTGAGGCTGGCAGGCGTACTTAATGATGAATTGGATGTAGTTTAATTCTAGAAATGATACCAAACTCTGCCTCTGTCGGGGGGCTGAAGCTATTCCCAACTCACGAGCTCATACCCGGACCTAAGGGAACCAGGAAAAAAAGAGACGAGAATTAAGGGGAAATGAGCCCCAGCCATACCGTTGCATCGAATTCCCGAAATAGAAAAGCCCTGCGCCTTTTGGGGCTGATCCTCAAGCTGTGCCAAGTTTTTGACAGGTGTTGGGGACAGGGATTGTAAGCACAGCCCTCGTGCCAAGGACAGAAGGATCAGTGACGATGTTCGGCAGTTGTTCAGTTGCAATTTGTCAGCACAAATTTCCCTTGTGTCGAGTTCTTTTATTGACAGCTTCACGATGAAAGGAGAGCATGTTCATTTATAGGTAGTCTTAATTTTACCAGTGATAAGGTTGCTAAGGCTGAACGGGAGGATCCACTATTCGGGCTACTCCACTCCCGTCTCTGGGACACGGAGTTACTGTATCGCGTGGCCCTCCTGCTTTAAGCGAAGGGGCACGGCGAAGCGATGACGAGATACCATCCGACATAGTTAGAAGCCAGTTGCGAATATGTTTCCCTGAACTCAACCGGACATAGTCACATAGATCTCTACAAGGAATCCTGAACAATGTCAGTGTTAGCTGCAATTCTCACGAGGCAAGAACCAAGATTACCTGGCATAGAATGATAAACATGGCCTGCATGTCTTTGGATGATTCTGCTACCTAAAAAAACAAAAATTCAACCGAAACGCCCTGGCGATTGAGGTACTCAAGCACCCGACCTACTCTGTGTCCCGATCAGTCTGCTCATGTTCACCAACGCCCACGTCCTGTGTGAGCTTTGCTTGTCCAGCAGGAACACTAGATCGACTCAGGAACATCAGGAATAGCAAAGCCCTGACCGTCCATCCACATATCCCCATAGTCTCCCGGGACCTTCCACGCCAGAACAAAAAGCCCTTGAAATATAGACCTGCGAAAATTTGGCTTGTTAGACCTGCATACTTCGAGCATTTCCTCCTCGGCTGGGCCAGAAACAACACGCTGGTCCCAATGATCCAGCAACTCGGGCAAGTCTGTGACGCGAACAAGGACCACCTTAATATCACCCTTGGGCTTGGGAACCACATACTTCGCTGCATCGTCGGAAGAATGCATCTGCAGGAGAGAATGGACGGCGCTTGAGGGCTTGTGAGCTTGCACGACGGCCCACCGGAGAAAGCCGCGCAGAAGAGTATTCTCCCAATCGGCTATAAGCCTAAGCCCGAATGACTCGGGGCAGAAGTATTCTCTTTTCGGATGCTTAGCTGGCATGAGCTCGTGAAGTTTCTTCTGAAGCCAGTATAAATAACAGTGTGCGAGAGACGCGGGCAGAATACGCCAGTCGGAGGTATCATTTTCGTCCCAAAAGCCCAACAAAACGAACACACTTTTCCCTTTTTTGGTCCAGCTCATCCAACATTCCTCTCTGCGCTGCAGAATAGTCAGATTCATCCATTCCATGAAGGTTGTGTTGCGCTTCAGTCACAGCCTTCGAGAGAGAATCTAGCCTCTCGATACCACATCGGACAAGATCGAGGGGATTCATCTTCGACAGCGGTAGAGAGAAAATAAGTGTGAGTTAGCAGGATGGGGTGGTTATATGTGGCTGAATGATAAGTCGTTTGTGAGTGTCGTTGTTAGTTAGCTGGGGTGGTTTGAGTGTCAAGATTTAAGAAGCTTGATAGGAATAATTTATGCAGGAGGTCTTGTCTTTTTATATGCTTGCTGAATAAACTCAGTTGGCGCTAACCACCGAACTAGGTTCTCTCGGCTGGATTAAGCTCTCAGCCATAAGTCTCAGCGGCAAATAACCCGAACAACCGTGCTGGTTGACACTGACACTGGTTTACGGTTTGTTACGGGGTCACCGAATAGGAGCCAGGTGGTAATGCATACAGGAGATGGCTTGAGCAATAATTTGTTCAATTAGAAATCCTTTATCTGTCCTTTGAGCTCGAGTAACATTGCATGATACTAGTTGCTGATGGTTATGTACAACTATGGGGATACATGCGATCTATAAGGTTAACCTTTAGGCTGCAAACACAGGTAACAAATAAGAACACGGTATTTTTTGCCTCAATATAAGCTTTTACCCATAAGCTTTCACGATGACCATTATGATTATGTACAAAGACTTCAGACAAACTTACCAAATCTTTGTTCATCTGATGATTTGCAGCCGTACTTTCAATCTGAACGGCCGGACAACAGCTAACATTGAACTGCTGGTTTCCAAGCTACCTGGACCGTAATCTTTCCCTTGTTTTATGAATAAAGGTGCAAGGTGAAGCCAGTTTTATTTTCTCTTCATAGGGAAATGAAAAATTGTTTCTTTCACGAGCACTAACCCTCTTCGAGGGAACTTAATGTGATTTTGACTGTGTTTATTTATGCCACGTATGACTTCGGTTACTGATTGAGTCATCATAAAAGCATATTATTCTGATTTTAATTGGGAGACTTATCTTTATGGAGTCTATGCGTATATTGCCTTTAGAAGCCTAAAGTTGATTGGTATTTTTTACTATGTTGGTTTGATATATCTCGTTGAGATATCATAAGCTTTAACTATCAATCAATCACGAGCACTGAGCACTGAGCACTGAGCAAAGGGCGAAACTACGGCTCCCTCACGCCTTGTCCTAAGTGAAGTGTGAATCTCGGATGTGTTGCAGTATGTAGCAATCATTTCAGGCATAACCGTGACAAAGGCCCAATAGAGTGCTGTTTTCCTGGACTGCCAATCCAAGGTTTACCCTTGTGGCCAGCAATTATTCGTCTCTGGTTGCAGCAATCATCGGTGGGGTGGACAATAGGCTCTGGGAATGACAATGCGTTTGTTTGGCAAGGGGCATATTTGAGGCCCATGTCGTATTAATAATTTCCGAGCATTCTTTGTCTGACCGGGACCATCAACGAGGGTTTCACGCCTCAGTAAAGGGACTCTTTGTCCTAGGGATGAATAAACCTACGTCATGTGATTTCTGTAAGTTTAACGAGCCACGGGACTGGGCTACAAACATCTAGCTCACCGTCTACACTTCTCATAAAAGCAGACCAGGTTTAGGGTGAATATAGACCATTGACCCGAAGCCTCGGCTAAGATAGTCTAACTTAATACTAGGTAGGAGTAATGGCATGAATGGGCTCTTATCACTTGGACTATTTCGTGCTTCCCGTCCTCAGTCGAGTCCCGACTGAAGCTCAACCTTCCACAACTTCTTATCCAAATACTCCATCTGCTCAGTTCGATACGTGTCATTCTCAACATGAACCACAGACGAATCATCAATATGAAAGACCATATTCTTCCCTTCATCCCACTCATACTCTGGCCACTGAACATCCCCCATACCTTCAAAGTTGGGGTTCATCTTGCTCGTAAAGCTAATCCACATTCTTGACATCTTAACAGCCACTTCATCAAATGACCCAGGTCTCGGCTCCGTGGCGTTCAACTGAGCCAGTCTTTCATAATTGCGGAAGACGAATGGGATATCAACCGAGTGTCCAGCTCCTTGGGTTGCTGGGCGATCACCTGATACAACGTCGAAGTGATAGCTGTACGCAGTGGCATTACTCTTTGCCCATTTCCTGTTCCAGACTCGTTTGGGTGCGTGCATAGCTCGATCACCGCCAAAGGCTACCGCGCGCTTCCACTGCAACCCGTACGAAGCCGATGGGCCTGATGGGCGCCCTTCGAAAGTCGCTGGCAGGCCGACACGTGGAATATCAGGGTACAGAGCTGAAATGACTTCGATTGTAGCATTACTTGCGCCCTCTTTTCGCAGATATGCCTCCCACTGCTGTGTCGTGTTGATGCCACGCTGGGCGAAAAAGTCGCCGTCGTCTGATGCGACTCCATTGATGATGGGCACTGGAACGAACTTATTCTGTCGAACGAGCTCTGAGCGGCTATCCCGAATGAAGTCGCCGTCAATAATGTCGAGCCAAACTGGGAACGAGACATTTCCGACAATCTGAGCGAGTTCCAGTGACGGCACCTTTCGCAGACACTGCAGAGAATCCTTAGCAGAATCGCAGTCGGCCCTCTTGAGAAGCGTCTTGTACCCCTTCTCAAAGGTTGGTGCTTCCTTGTCCTCCACCTCTCCAAAGGCCGTGGGGAAGCCAGTACCACTCTCGAGAATAGCTGCTCTAAACAGCCCATCGTCTCTACCGCCAAAGGCAGTCAATTGAGATGCAACACTTCGTGCCCCTCCACTCTGGCCCCAGATGGTGACCTTCTTGGGATCACCCCCAAACGCAGCGATGTTCTCTTGAACCCATTGAAGAGCAAGTCTCTGGTCGCGGAAGCCATTATTTCCAACGCCTTCGGCCTTGACGGCGGAGCTCCAAAGGAAGCCCCATGCGCCAAGACGGTAGTTGATTGAGACGCCGATGATGGGCGAGCCCAATTTCACAGACTCGTCGATGATGTAGCTGAGGTTTGAAGAGGGATCACCGCTGTAGCCTCCGACAAGGCCGCCGCCATGGATCCAGACAAGGACGGGAAGCTTCTCCTTCGCAGCTGCAGACGGGCGAACGACATTTAGATGTAAGCAATCGTCAGTGCCACCTGAAAGAGGTCCGGAAGGATACCCGTACTGATAACACTTGGATTGGTACTCTGTCGCATTACGCACTCCGTCCCAGGTTGAGTTCAAGGGCTGAGGGTGTCGAAAGCGCAGATCGTTCAGCGGCGCCTGAGCATATCTCATACCAAGGAACAAGTCTTGGTTGTACGCAGTGTTATGAGTACCATAGTATGAACCATTCTTCAGTTCAACAACGGGACTGTTCCGTGGTATTGAAGCAGCGCCCACGGCAACCGCCAAAGCCAGAATAAGAGAAGAGCCCAGCATCGTTGCCAAGTCCGCACAAACTGCAGATCCCTCTCACGAGCCCAAACAAGATATATATACTCTCCGCTTCAAAGCACTTACACCATACTTGCTGAAAAGCGGCCACCGGCACCGAGCACGAGAGCAGACGGCCCTCGGCGCCGCGACCGAATATGGGGTCTCCCCACACTCCGGACTCTGGGGTTGCGGGGAAGATCCCTGAATAGCTTCAAATTTCTGCAAGCTCTAGCATGTTTTGGGACGAACTACCCGGGCGTACTTCGGCACTCATGGGTAAATGGCGGCTGTTGTGCCTTGGTTTGAGGGTTCGGTGGGCCAGATGATGCGTTTGACAGGTATTGAGATGGCTTGAGGTGGTATTGAGACGGGGAAACATTCGCCGATGGATATCTCGTGGCACGGAAGATGGATAGTTCGGCGAGGGTCTTAAGGGGTTGTGCAGGAACAGTAGAACGCTGCTAGATGGCATAGATGAGGGCTAACGATGAATGAACGACGTGGAATTGAACCATCTGACGAGAAACATGCCGATGAAGTCTGATGAAGTCTGATGAGTATCCTATACAGAAACCAGCTACCTATCTATAAACTCCAAAGCACACCAACAGCACCTCGCTGAACAAATACAAACAACCGCCGAGCCCATCCAATTGTCGCTCATCGCCTCTCCCTCAGACCCTTCGTCCTCAGCGTGAACTTGGCATCTCCCTCCCCAAAAGGTAACGAAATCCCATCATCCAAACTCTCACGCCCCTCATCTTTATTAAGTCCATTACTCTTGATAATCGCATCCCGTAACACATCGCCGTTCTGATTGACCTCACTATCCGTGCTGCCCCTCCGGCTCTCTGTAACACTACCCGAATCGCCGTCGAACTGCGCCGACATGGTGGACATGCGTCCTTTCATCCTTCCGGCCCACAACCCGCGAACACCCCCCTTTTTGCGCTCTGGTACTTGGTCGCTGCCGGCGCTGCAGACGTAGAGCAAGTATTTGAGGTTCGGGAGGGTGTGCCGGATGTCGACGACGCGGAGACCTTGCGATGAGCAGAGAGCCTCAATGTCTTTGTTGAGGAGAAACCATGCGTATTCGAAGCGCCATTGACCTGCTGTTGAGCCACCTCTTGGGAGATAGAGTGGGAATTCTCGACGCGAGACTGTCCGGTCGGATAATTGGGAGATGTCATCGCGCGCATATGATCTGGAGCCGAACCAATCAAGAGGGTATGGTAATGGATGCGCGAGATAGAACTGCAGGTGCTTCGTAAGCAGAGCGACAATCCCTAGACCAGCGGACAAGAGGTCTTCGGAGATATTTCTCGCAGTAGCCGCATCGTATATCGAGTTCGATAGTGGTATGTTGCATATCTGGAACGAAAGCGGCGGCGCATTAGGAATCGGGGTGATCGGAAATATGTCCGAAAGGTCGGCGCAAATACGTCTTCGTTGCCCCCGAATCTGCTGCTGCGTCTGCTCAAGAAGCTCCTCCGAAGCGGTCAACTTCTCTCGACTGCTCTCCATGTCCTTCTCCGCTTCATTCTGAAGCTCTCTCCCCTTGACAATCGCTTCGCGCCGACTCCGTATAGACTCCTGCAAATCATCGCGCTTCTTTTGCGCCTGTTTATTCAACCGTCTTTGCGCTGTAACATATTTATCGGCCATCACGACAACTTCCCTCGCCATTTGCGAATTATCAGGTGGGCTTTCGTCTAGTATACGGTTTATCTCTTCCATTAATCTCTGCTGTGTCTCTATCGCGTCTTCGATCGAACTCTCGAGGTTGGCTAGCTTCATGAGCGCATTGTATGACGATGTGGCTACTTGCGGCGCTTGCTTCGGCTCGGATATCTTGTTGGGAAAGTCGAACGAGTATACGCCGTCTTCGAGGTGGAATATCAATGCGTTGGGCGGGAAGTTTCGGTCCATTAGGGTGCCGATGAAGTTGAGACGGCACAGGTCGATTGTTTCTTCGAGGAGAAAGGTCCATGATTCGGCTTTCGGTCGGCGCGCCCAGATTCGTAGGATCATGGAATTGCATCGTGAAATGGCCGACGCACAATTTTCGAGACTGAAGAATCTGAAGTTGAAGCTCTGTAAACAGTCAGATCCCGCTATGTGTCGCAATGGACAGCTTTCGTACCGTAGCTCGCTCTCGCACCTCGCTGATGTAGACAGGCTCAGCATCCGCGTCCACATGCAGCGAGTAAAACACATCCCCCACAGCCTCCTCATATAGCGTCTCCAAATTCTTCTGCCGCGCCACGAGATTGGCATGCGCCAAGCTCAAACTCGTCCTACGCTTCTGCACCGGCCTGAGCGCATCCGGCCTAGCATTGCCCTTCCTCAAGCTCTCTGACGACCGCGACGGATGCAATTGACTCGATTCTTTGACCACTTGTAGCTTGCTCGTAGCTAGATCGGCGTCATCTGCTGTTCTGAGACTCGTGGGCGCGAAGGACAAATTGCGAAGCCAGATGCCGCGAAGGTGACGAAGCTTGCGGTTCTGCGGGAGAAGACGGGGACGACGGGGTTCGGAGAGGGTCGACATTCTGGTAGTGGCATGCTGCGTTTAGCAGCTTAGACTATTGGCGCTTATGACATTTGTGGAAGCTTTGAGGATAAAAGTGAGGATGTGCGTGAAACGTCATCAGTTCCAAGGTGGGAGCTTTGGAGCTTAGCTGCAATTGAGAGTCGCGATAGTTGCATACCCGCTTTAGTGACATCACAACCGAGTTAACCTGGACTTGACGGCAATTGTGCTTTGCCTGGCCAGAGCTCTTCTCGCGGCAAACTGCATTGTGATCTTGTTCAAGAATAGTTATACGTGGTACTTTGTCACTCTCAAAGTGATAGCAATTCGTACCTACGGAGTAGTTCTAGTCTAATGCACACCGGATTTGCGAAACAGGTGAGACATTATGCCAAGAAAAGTACGTAAGGAAAGCATGAAAACTTGGGATCTCTATCCTGAGTGACCAGAAGACTCAGGCAGAGTGAGCATGATTTAGTGTAGACCTGGCGGGTCTTGACTAGGTATTTTGGTACCTTGGTATAACAGCAGAAGTCTTATTGCTCACTTGGTGGAGATCATGAGCATTACGCCTTGAGCTTCAAATCTTCCAAATCCGTTGTCCCCAACAGATTGATCAAAGGCAAAAACAACTTCTCACCATTCCCTCCCGTAGCATGAATCTTCTTGAGGTCGTCCCATGACTTCCAATACCAGCCCTCGCACTTCTGCGGCTCAAGGATCTAGTCATGTCAGCTTATTACCCTGTACAACCTGCAAGACAAACCGACCTGGGGTTGGTCACTCTCATTAACCATCTGGCAGGACACAAAAATTGTGATGTAGTGCTTCTTCTCTGTTACAAATACGTCGTTCGTAGTGGCGATATGCTGAAGGGCCTTGACCTTGAGGCCTGTCTCCTCGAGGGTTTCTCGCTCTGCGCACGCGAGGAAGCTCTCGCCGTACTCGAGATGGCCACCTGGTAACTGAAGGGTGCCTGTATACTTTCAGCTTCTGCTCAAATTCATGTCGTTGCAAGAATACTTACCGGCTCCGTGGCTCCCTATCCGCTTTCCAGTGAGGAATTTGCCTTCGCGGTTGTAGATGAGGGCGGCGACGCCGACGCGGGGGTGAGGAGCTTCTGTAGACATTATTGTACGAGTCTTATGTATATAAAACAAAAGAGACGTTGGTGATGAGTTCGCGATATTGTTTATCGGAGAAAAGGCAAGGGTATGGAGTCAGTTTTGTGCTGATTAGAAGAACGCCCAGCCAGGCGCAGTCACCCAGCTAAGCTGATGACTCATCGTGAAAGGGCACCTTGTGTGGATGAGATGTGCTACACTGGCGGGCAGTGATGATACAACTGGAAAATTAGAGCATCATCGTCATCGGAAGGAATGGGATGAATTCTTTTGCATAGCCTTGTGCAAAAGAATGTCATTGTGTTGCGCGCATCCTCGACGTGTACCCATGCACCAGCGCCTCATTATATGAACCAACAACTCTTCTTGGTGGATAACGTTTGGGACACCGTCGCGACAATTGTTTCTCTCGTAAAAGTGTATTGGATATACCTAGTAAACCGCCTTTTGAACACCCAAACAGTTCGTACGCTATGAAACAAAAGATCTGATCATGTTTGCTTGCTAACAGTTGCTCATCAATTCGTATTCGTCCACCGATATCTTAGCATGCCAATCAGATGCGCAAAAGCGCACATAAGATCTACAATGGTTCCCAAAGACATCTCACAAGATGCAAAAGGTGGCAATCATCGGCGATGGCCATGTAATGTGACAATTCCTTTCCTGCTGCCAATGTCGTCCAGCCGCTTCCCAGTGGATGCCAATCACCCCTCAACATTTCTGTATGCCTCGGTTGCATGAGGTTCCAAGTGCACCTTCGAGCCAGCGATCCGAGGCAGAAAGAGAACATCTACGCCGCTCTCGCAGGCCCTGCGAAAAAGGTCTCGCCAAGCTCCTCAGACAGTCACGGGAAAGGCTGCGACGGCGCAAACAGTCCATAAAGCGCATCCTGCGAAATGTCCTTCTCCTGATCATTTAAGAAATCTAGCAGACCCGGTGAGTGACCGAACGCCGGATCGAAGTGATCCATGTGGGGGATATAATCCGACGCAGTAGCAGACACGTAAGCACCCGTTGGCGTAGAAGTGTTGGTGTTGTTGGGCGCAATAGTAGATGCAGCGGGTGCCATGGCGAGAGGGAAGAAGAAACTCTCATCGAGACCAGCAGGCTGGGGCTGTTCTGTACCAGTGGTACCACTCTCCTTGATGCTGGTCTGGAACTCACGAACCATGTCCTGGAGAACGCTGAGGGGCTTCTTGAGACCAAAGTTGCATCCGACTTGGAGTTCGCTGAGACATGTCCAGAAGAAGGAGATGGGCTCTGTGAATTGGCCTCGTTCATGGCGCTCTTGACGGAGGATGACGATGACGGCCGAGTAGACTGCGTATGAGAGAAGGAAGGGTGCGCGACGGAGTGTAAAAGATTCGCGGTATCGGCGGACGAGTTTCTGGATCATGAGAGCGCTTTGAATGCATGCTTCTTCACCGCGGCGCTTGGCGGTCTCGTCGGTGTGGCGGCGAAGGTGACCTTCCTCGAGGAATGCGCGGTGTAGCAGAATGGTGAGAGCGTGGAATGTCGTACTGAAATATCGTGGTAAGTATTCTGATCCTCACATGCTCAGCGGGGAAGACTCACTGTGGGGTGATTTGATGGGGTGGAGGTGTGATGGTGAGAGTATCGTCGGGGTCGAAACACAAGTGGCTTGGAAGGCTGGCCTGCCATTTCTCAAGCTCCCTCTCAATGGACTCCTTCTTATTAAGAAGATACTCCGTTGTGTATTTGACACACTGAATGCCATAAAGGTCATTGATTCTTGTAGAGATTTGCAATATCCTCACCAGACTGCTAAAGGTAGACACAGCGTGGGCGGGCTGTCGTCCATATGGTGGTGGAGCTGAAGCCGGCGACTTGGGGTCGATATAAGGTTCCCATTCTTCGAGCTCTTCAAAAGTATCGAGAAGCTGAAGGGGAACTCTAGCTTGAGCAGATGCAAACATGCAGGGACGGCCAAGATACAACGCTTGTGTAGCATCGGTAGTGAAGGCAGCCCAGTAAAGACGCTTGCGCATCTCTTGCTCTAGATCCGTCCGTAGTACGCGTTGCTCGTTGACACCGCCTGTGCTCTCGTAATCAGGACCCAGCATAAGATGGCATCCCAGATCAATTATCATGCGATGTGCTGTTCCTGACAGACTCCAACCTGCACTGGGTTTGCCTTGTGAAACAAGCGATACACTTGTAAGCAGCAGAGCAAGGGCGGAAGGAATACTGGGCTTGTCGAGTTCGTCTACCAAAAGTTCTCTGAAACGATCATAGAAGCGCCTCCCAACACTTTGAGGATCATCGGGATCGGCGCGGAGGGATGGGCGGTCGCTGTATAGGGACGTCGAGTAGAAAATGGCGTTGAGTAAAAGCTTGTTCGCGAAAGGACCACCGCCACTAGCAAGACTGTCCATAATCGCAGGTCGATAAGAAATAAGGTATGCATAATGTTGTCGGTTAAAGTGTAAGTCGAGAAGATGTTTAGCAAGTTCTGGGTCTACACCATCCAAGTCCATCAAGTCTCGTGGGTTACGGAACATGCGCGCCTCTCGCTGCCGTTGTAGCGCAGCGTTGCTTATAAGCCGAGCTTTCGAAGCTGATATAGCATCGTCGCCTTTTCGTGTCATCTTATTGATATTCTCTCGATGCTGTGCGCGCGATGTCGGGTTCATGATACTGGCTAGACCGTGAACCGCAGAGACATATCCGTTCTCGTGGAATACACCAGCTACTCGAGCTTCACTTGGTGATAGACCGGTGCCGTCACCATTACCGTCGTTGCTTATAGGGCGAGGGACCAGTTTCACGGGCGCAAGCTCTGTAGAATCGAGTTGTGTCTGGGTCGTTCGTGAGAGGATCGTATTGAAGCTATCAAGTCGAGGTTTCGTCTCATCCGTCGGACCAACGCTGCTCCTCGGCGGCGAAGAAAGAAAACTAGCGCCCATTTCCTGCGCAGCAGTGGAAGCAGTCGGTGTCGGAAGTGGACTAGCAATAGCAGCAGTCGAAGCAAGACGGCTCAGCCCATGGGTAGTATAATCCTGCGAAGCGCGGGACGGATGGTCCGTATCCATTAGCTCCGCCGTCCACGCAGACTGCATCTCGGACGTAAGGATGCCGGCGGCCTTCATGTGATCGAGCATAGCGGCGATTGTCGCCTCGAGGCTCTGCACGCGCGCGCGCGACGGTCGAGGTTCTCGGCGGGCATCGTGAGGGTATACGCAGGGGAGACTGTTGGTGCTGCACTCCACGCACTGCGGGCGCGTGCCGTCGCAGCGGACTTTCTTCTGGCGACACGGCGTGCAGGTCTTGCAGAGAGCGCCGCCGGACGAAGGGCGCGAAGAACCCTTGGAGTCCTTGCCCGCTTGACGCTTGACGATCTTGTTTGGACCCGTCATTGTCATCTTTGGCGGATTTCAGGGAAAGTGGAATGATGGCGCAAAAAAAGGAATTATCATGTAAAAAAGAGAATGAGCGAAATGTTAGGTTCGTTCTCGGCTCAGGTGAGCGGCATCGGTGGCCGGGTGTTCGGTGAGTCGAGGGTGTTCCCGCGGGGAGCATCGGGCGATATTTCAAGGTCAACGGCCCACAGCGTGTTAGCGCCGGACCACTAGAAGCAGGGCCCTGAAGCCGCTAGCCACAATCTCCCCCAGGTCCAGCCCGGATCCACCCGATCAAGTCCTCGGATGCGGTTAATATCGTGCTTGTGAGTGGTCAGCGATTGCATGGGTGTGAAGGAGGATGTCATCCTCGGAAATGCAAAGCTGGAGTATCTGAAGTTGATCGATGCATCTCAAGATTTGGAGAGAGAAATGATACGCTGAGTTGAGAGTCAATTGGGCGGGTTTAGCTCGGGACCTCGGTATTGAACTTAAACTCGACCACCATCATATCTACCCAGCAAAATCCTCC